CAACACTGAGGGTTGCGATCCGTTGCTGGACATGGAAAAAGACAAAAAGACAAAAAAAAAACAACTATATTTTCAGGACTCATCAGTCAGATATGTAGTTGAAAATATCTTTCCCATAGCAGCAGAAGGGATCTGCTATATTTATCCCAGCAATCACAATCACCTCATACTTCTAAGTGAAATGTTCTTTGAACTCATTTTTAATTTACTCATTATTCCATATATCACAGCAATATCTATATGAGATTTTTATTACTACATATGTAAATTCATGTAAGTTTTTAATTAATAATAGCTGTTTCAATATATAGGACTGCTTAATAAAAAAATCTCCTGATTGCCTTCTTATCATTAGAGACAGGAGAGCCAAATCTTAATGACTGAAGAGTTTAGTAAGCTGTGCCAGAAACCTGTAGTGAGGACATTAATGAGAATAAAAAGATGTAAGAAGTGAGACAAGAATATTGAGTGATGAAGATCAAGGATGGAAGCCAGATCTTCCATCCTTGAAATGATGAATTAGGGGAATGAAAGCTAGGAAAAGTGAAGCAGAAGGCAAAAGAGTAGAAATGCCTAGGGGAATTAAATGGTGAAAGCTTTATCTATTATTTTCCTTCCTTTCCTTCACTCACATACTAAGAGCTCTTTTCGTGTATGTGTGCATTTACTAAAGATAACACAGGATTTTCCCCTATTTTCTTGTTACAGAAACTTGGGAGGGAAGTTTCACGTATTTTACTGGTCTTCTACCCCTTGGAATTTGCTGTTGCACTTACATACTCTATCAACTGCTGTTTGCTTTTGGTAAGTGTAATTTACTCTCTGACAAATCAAGAGATGTTGATTTCTTGTAAGCATACTCTATGAGGAGGTGATGTGCACTGATACAATGTTTGGAACTGATGAAAATGGAATATGTGATAATATTTCCATTACTTTTTATTTTTTCCTTATTTTATAAATAGAAAACATAAGATTACAAAAGTAATACATGAAACTATAAATTAAAAAGTTTTAAAAAATTATGGAGTAAAAAGTGGTTGTTCCCTTAATATAATCCTCATCATATACACACATCCACATCTACATAAAAACAGACCAACACACATAGATTACTAATTGTGTGATCACATCTATATTGTTTTATCATATGCATTTTCACAACTATCATGAACATCTTTCCATTACAAAACATATCTAAATAATGCCTTTTAATTGCTTCATTGTTCTTCTTAGTATTTAACATTCCCTTTTTTCTGCATATTTAGCTTTGTATTCAGTGTTTTCTAAATTATAAACAACGATGCAGTGAACATTTTAATACTATTTTTGCATACAGGACTACTGTTTCTGTAGGTGATTGATTCCTAGAAGTGTAAGTGCAGGGTCAAATTTAATAACATTTAATAATGTTAATAATAAATTAACATTCATAATTAATAAAATGCTGTAACAATTCACAATACCACAAAAGTTTATGAGAATGGTTATTTTCTCACAAGCTTAAAAAAACTAGTTAACTAACATTCGTTCATTCTTTCTCAAATATTTATGGCGGGCCTATTATTTGCTAGGCATTCTAGTAGGCACTAAGGATGCAATGTGCCTACCATCAGGGAGTTTGCATTCCACTGGGGGGAAAAGAGAATAAACAAATAAATATATAAAATAATGTCAGGAAGTAGAAAATGTTAAGTAAAATAAAGCAGAGTAAGGAGATAAGGCAAAGATTATTTTACATAAGATGGTCAGTGAAGACTACTCTGAGCAGGGACTAACAAAAGTACAGAAGGAACTATGAGATGATAAGGAAAAAGAGTTTGTAAAGAATAAAGAATGAGTGGGACTTTCAGAATGGCTAAATGAGGATATGGCAAATCTCCCTAAAAAGAAATTGTATACAGACACACCAAATGGAATATTACACTCTCATGTGATACATATATACAATTCTTTTAATTATGGGTTTAATATTAACAGTCCACAGGTATAACATATTTATAAGCTAACAGTTATAACATCAAGTTATGGCTTCTTTTCACCATAAAAGATAATGGCCTTTTAATGTGCAGGTTCTGCTGAGATTTTGTTTCATTACCAAAAGTTTTCAAATCGTATGTTATTTGATGTCATTTTTCACATTGTCCATTGACCTGGCCTTATACTGCTGGCACCAAGCTGGTAGGAGAGTGAATGTGTATGTCTTTTTATGAGAGTGTGTGGTTAAGAGAGGAAATGACTTGCATTGTAAGGACACAGAGATTTCTTGGTTGAAGAGGTTCTGTTGGAAGAGAATTTGCAGACCACACCATGTAAGTGTTCAGTCCACATTATAGAAGTGGATAAATTTTACATTGTTGCAGGGAAACCCTTTTTTTTTTTTTTATCTTGAGGTGATTTATTTTCTTGGCCAATATTGTGTAGTGCTATTAAATTTTAAAGATATGGGTATTTATTTTATTGAAATGTAATTGATTTTAAGAATGGTTGTTGTATGGAATGGACTATACATGTTAGTATACAATACATGATGGTCAAATCAGTATAATTAGCACTTCCATCATTGCATGATGGAATCATTCTTCATGTCCACTAATCAATTTCTCACTAACCCACCTCCGTTTTTGCCTTTCGCACTTCTTGGAACAACACTTTGCTCCTCTCGTTCTAAAAGGCCAACCTGTATTTAGGATGGTTCTGTATATTTCTTTTCTTGTTCTTTTGGTATCTTTCTTTCTTTCCTACATTTCCATGTATTCATTTGTTTCTTTATATATGTATATATTTATGTCTTTATATGGGTTTACTGTGTCAGCATCTTTCCTTTTATACAAAACTTGCTAAGACTATGTTGAAGGGATGTTGAAATCTGTCAAATGCTTCTTCTGCATCTATTGAGATAATCCTACCAATGTTGTCCTTGATATTCTGGGTATTTTTTTTTTTTTTATCTTGAGGTGATTTATTTTCTTGGCCAATATTGTGTAGTGCTATTAAATTTTAAAGATATGGGTATTTATTTTATTGAAATGTAATTGATTTTAAGAATGGTTGTTGTATGGAATGGACTATACATGTTAGTATACAATACATGATGGTCAAATCAGTATAATTAGCACTTCCATCATTGCATGATGGAATCGTTCTTCATGTCCACTAATCAATTTCTCACTAACCCACCTCCGTTTTTGCCTTTTGCACTTCTTGGAACAACACTTTGCTCCTCTCGTTCTAAAAGGCCAACCTGTATTTAGGATGGTTCTGTATAGTTCTTTTCTTGTTCTTTTGGTATCTTTCTTTCTTTCCTACATTTCCATGTATTCGTTTCTTTATATATGTATATCTTTATGTCTTTATATGGGTTTACTGTGTCAGCATCTTTCCTTTTATACAAAACTTGCTAAGACTCTTTATGTTGAAGGGATGTTGAAATCTGTCAAATGCTTCTTCTGCATCTATTGAGATAATCCTACCAATGTTGTCCTTGATATTCTGGGTGTGGTGTATCACAGTTATTGACCTGTGTGTGCAGAACAATCCTTGCACCACTAGGGTGAATC